TGCGATCAGTTGGTCTTAGAGGGCCTTTCGAATGCTTTCGTCATACGATTACATCACCAGACGATAAAGTCCCCTTCGTCTTCGTCTTCTTCTTCCTCGTCTTCGTCCGTGGAGGCTTGGAGACATTCCAGCGACATATTTAATTGGATCTTCTTGCGCTGGTCGACAAACAAAAAATTTCAAAATAATTCTCACGTTAACATCAAGGAAAGAAATTGTATTATCTTCACAAAGAGAAACCGTTTACAACTACCCCAGCCTTATTTAATATGGTTATCAGCGATACCAGTACACGAAGTATCGTTATCGTCGGTACTAGCCATATTCAGAGTTTCTTCCAGGCATCTCTTCGGAGAGCCCCCCCCCCCCCCCCCAACGAAATGGAATTTATAATGAAAATATACTTCTACCAGTGTCCCGCCCCCCCCCCCCGGAAAATGTTGACCCCCCCCCCCCCCCCCCGGAGAAAAAAGTGGAAGAGAACACTGGACATATTAAGTAGCGTTATCGATATCGGCTACACGATGGAACGGCTTTGACACTACCAGCTCCACGAAGTATCGCTCCACCCCGATACCATGTCCACGAGTTCTCTCCCCCCCCCCCCCACGCTTACTGACCACATTCTCGAGCAGGGAGAGATCCGCCGGACCTTGTTCTCCCCCCCCCCCCACGCTACTGACCACATTCTCGAGCTGGGAGATCCGCCGGACCTTGTTCTTCCGCTCCCCCCCCCCCCACGCTACTGACCACATTCTCGAGCTGGGAGATCCGCCGGACCTTGTTCTCTCCCCCCCCCCCCCCCCCACGATCCTGACCACATTCTCGAGCTGGGAGATCCGCCGGACCTTGTTCTCCCCCCCCCCCCCCCACGCTACTGACAACATTCTCGAGCTGGGAGATCCGGCGTACCTTGTTCCCCCCCCCCCTCCCCCACGATACTGACCACATTCTCGAGCTGGGAGATCCGCCGGACCTTGTTCTTCCCCTCCCCCCCTTCCCACGATACTGACCACATTCTCGAGCAGGGAGATCCGCCGGACCTTGTTCTCCCCCCTCCCCCCCCCCCCCCCCACGATACTGACCACATTCTCGAGCTGGGAGATCCGCCGGACCTTGTTCTTCCCCTCCCCCCCCCACGATACTGACCACATTCTCGAGCAGGGAGATCCGCCGGACCTTGTTCTCCCCCCCTCCCCCCCCCCCCCCCCCCCCACGATACTGACCACATTCTCGAGCTGGGAGATCCGCCGGACCTTGTTCTTCCGCTCGAACTCTTTGCTGATCTCGATGGCCTGCCGCACGTCCTGGGTCAGCTTGCTGTCCGACTCGTGGTGGGACATGAGCTTGTCGTCCACCCGCATGTCGTGGTGGGCGGACGTCTTGGCCTTCAGGGCGATCTTGTCTAGGTGGATCTGTCGGCTCATACGGCGCTCAATCAACCTGGGGGGGGGGGGGGGGGGGGAGGGGGGGGGAGAGGGTGTAGGGGGGAAGGAGTAGTGGAGTGGGGGGGGGGGGGGGTAGGGGGGAGGGAGTAGTGGAGTGGGGGGGGAGAGGGAGTAGTGGAGTGGGGGGAGGGAGGGGGAAGATAAGTATTTAATGAATGAGTCTCTGTCTATGCTTGCTGATCTTTGAGCCTGGGTCTGTGTTCCTGATATGTGTATATATATATATATATTATATATATATATATATAAAATATATATATATATATATATATATATATATATATATATATATATATATATATGTATGTATAGTAAAACGCACAACGAACAACAACCATAGACATATATATATATATGACTTACTAAATATAATTTATTTCTTGTAAAGTTACACACATGACTTAACCTTATATCGCCAAAATAATGTCCCAAGACTTACTTAATGTCCCCAATATTTCGAACCGTGTTCATCTTTGGGTTTAAGTTTTGATCTACTGAGCTCGCCTCTGATTTGGCCTTTCGGGATGTAAGAAAAGGGATAATCAATCAAAAGTCACTACCTCTCCACTGTTAGCCCCCTACCTCGCCACTGTTAGCCTACCTCACCACTATTAGTCCCCTACCTCACCACTGTCAACCCCATACCTCACGACTCTAAGCTCTTAACTCACCACTGCTAGCCCCTACCTCACTACTGTTAGCCCCTACCCTCGCCTCTGTTAGCCCCTACCCTCGCCACTGTTAGCCCCTACCTCACCACTGTTTGACCTACCTCACCACTGTGTCTCCCTACCTCACCACTGTTTGCCCTACCTCACCACTGTTGTCTCCCTACCTCACCACTCTTATCCCCCTACCTCAACACTGTTTCCCCCCTACCTCACCACTCTTTATCCCCTACCTCACCACTGTTAACCCATTACCTCACCACTGTTATCCCTGTTATCCCCCCTACCTCACCACTGTTATCCCCCCACCTCACCACTGTTATCCTCCTACCTCACCCACTGTTATCCCCCCTACCTCACCACTCTTATCCCCTACCTCACCACTGTTAACCCATTACCTCACCACTGTTATCCCTGTTATCCCCCTACCTCACCACTGTTATCCCCCTACCTCACAATTTTTAGCCCCCACCTCACCACTGTTATCCCCCCTACCTCACCCTACCTCACCACTGTTAGCCCCCCCTACCTCACCACTCTTATCCCCCCACCTCACCCCTGTTAGCCCCCCACCACTGTTATCCCCCCACCTCCTGTTATCCCCTACCTCACCCCTGTTATCCCCCCCCCCACCCACCACTGTTAGCCCCCTACCTCACCACTCTTATCCCCCTACCTCACCCCTGTTGTCCCCCTACCTCACCCCTGTTATCCCCCTACCTCACTACTGTTATCCCCCTACCTCAACCCCTGTTATCCATCTACCTCACCCTGTTATCCCCCTATCTCACCCCTGTTATCCCCCTACCTCACCACTGTTATCCCCCTACCTCACCCCTGTTATCCCCCACCTCACCACTATTATCCCCCTACCTCACACTGTTATCCTCCTACCTCACCACTGTTATCCCCGCTACCTCACCACTCTTATCCCCCTACCTCACCACTGTTAACCCATTACCTCACCACTGTTATCCCTGTTATCCCCCTACCTCACCACTGTTATCCCCCTACCTCACAATTTTTAGCCCCCACCTCACCACTGTTATCCCCCTACCTCACCACTGTTAGCCCCCCCTCCCCCCCCCGCTACCTCACCACTCTTATCCCCCCATCTCACCCCTGTTAGCCCCCCACCACTGTTATCCCCCCACCTCACCCCTGTTATCCCCCTACCTCACCCCTGTTATCCCCCCCCACCCCACCACTGTTATCCCCCTACCACCACCACTGTTATCCCCCTACCTCACCACTGTTAGCCCCCCTCCCCCCCCCGCTACCTCACCACTCTTATCCCCCCATCTCACCCCTGGTAGCCCCCACCACTGTTATCCCCCCACCTCACCCCTGTTATCCCCCTACCTCACCCCTGTTATCCCCCTACCTCACCCCTGTTGTCCCCCTACCTCACCCCTGTTATCCCCCTACCTCACCACTGTTATCCCCCTACCTCACCCCTGTTATCCCCCTACCTCACCCCTGTTATCCCCTACCTCACCCCTGTTATCCCCTACCTCACACTGTTATCCCCCTACCTCACCCCTGTTATCCCCCTACCTCACCCTGTTATCCCCCACCTCACCACTATTATCCCCCTACCTCACCACTCTTATCCCCTACCTCACCACTCTTATCCCCTACCTCACCACTCTTATCCCCTACCTCACCACTGTTATCCCCCTACCTCACCCCATGTTATCCCCCTACCTCACCCCTATTATCCCCTACCTCACCACTGTTATCCCCCCACCTCACCACTGTTATCCCCCTACCTCACCACTGTTATCCCCCTACCTCACATTCAAAGACGATCTTCTCCAGCTCTGAGATCCGCCTGGCGTCGCTGCTCTTCTTGGCCTGTAGCCGCATCTTCTCCCTCTCCTTGACGGATACACGCTCGCTGGTGCTGCTGTACCCTGAGGAGCGCCTCTTGGAACTTCCGGTCACCCTGTGACGTACAGCTCACCATCAGGGGGGGGGGGGCTTAACGTTTAAGGGGTACTCCATTTATGACGTCCACAATTTTTTTGGATTTTGGAACCCCCCCCCCTCCACAAAAATTCACTTATTTTTCTTATAAAACTCCATATGCGTCCACAAGTCATATTTTTTTCGGACACCCCCCCCCCTCTCCCGTGTGTACGTCATAAATTGATGACCCCTTACCGTATCGTTTTAACTTAAAGTCTAACTTGAACGTTTTACTTTAACCTTTGACTCCATTTAACATTAGGTCTTTGAACTGCGTGATGGTTAGTGTTTTGGTTTATCTTGAAGGTGCTAGACACCCCGTTAGGGTGGGAATGTTTAACTTAAACGTTTTACCATTATGTTTTATTTTAACGTTTTACCGTTACGTTTTACTTTCACGTTTAACTTAACGTTTTAAAATAACTTTTTTTTTAACTACGGAATAAAGAATAAAAGATACACATGAAGGGAAAACAATACCCGGAATTGGTTGAGTATTTAGTTGAAGATTCTCGTCGGCTTTGTTCTTTACTTATCGCGGTAGACGTCCTTGTCGTTGAGCGTATCTGAAGAAATATAGTTCAATTTTTAAAAGGGGAGGGGGGTATTGATGTGGTATAGACGAGGAAGCTGTCTAGAACATTACGGTAGGTCATTGCTGAGCGGAACTGAAGAAATGAAATGTTAAAAGAGGATGGAAGGGGTGTGTATTGTTGTTGTGCTATTGACGAGGATATTGTCCAGAACTTCTAAGTATTGTTAACTTTTGCAATAGAATAGTAATGTTAAAACATGATCTAAATATAATTCCAAGCAGACAAGCTCTAACCAAACCAATTTAAGCTCTTATCTAAACCCTTAACCAATCAAAGCCCCTGCTGACAAACTCACTAAACCCTTAACCAATCAAAGCCCCTGCTGACAAACTCACTAAACCCTTAACCAATCTAAGCCCCTGCTGACAAACTCACTAAACCCTTAACCAATCTAAGCCCCTGCTGACAAACTCACTAAACCCTTAACCAATCTAAGCCCCTGCTGACAAACTCACTAAACCCTTAACCAATCTAAGCCCCTGCTGACAAACTCACTAAACCCTTAACCAATCTAAGCCCCTGCTGACAAACTCACTAAACCCTTAACCAATCTAAGCCCCTGCTGACAAACTCACTAAACCCTTAACCAATCTAAGCCCCTGCTGACAAACTCACTAAACCCTTAACCAATCTAAGCCCCTGCTGACAAACTCACTAAACCCTTAACCAATCTAAGCCCCTGCTGACAAACTCACTAAACCCTTAACCAATCTAAGCCCCTGCTGACAAACTCACTAAACCCTTAACCAATCTAAGCCCCTGCTGACAAACTCACTAAACCCTTAACCAATCTAAGCCCCTGCTGACAAACTCACTAAACCCTTAACCAATCTAAGCCCCTGCTGACAAACTCACTAAACCCTTAACCAATCTAAGCCCCTGCTGACAAACTCACTAAACCCTTAACCAATCTAAGCCCCTGCTGACAAACTCACTAAACCCTTAACCAATCTAAGCCCCTGTAGACAAATTAAAAGTAAAGCAATCTTAAGTAAAGTTCCCCTTTCAGACCTAGCGGTCTATTGGGCAAATGATAAAGAGTTCATATGTTTCTTGACCCCGGCGTATGAAGGGATGGTGTGGTCAGCATTATGCCCAGCCGCCTTTACCCAACGCAACTGAGGTACCCTTATAGTTGGACACCTACAAGCTGGAAACCGAGATCTGAACTCGAGACCTTCGGGGTACCAGCCAAACATACCAATCTTAGCTGATGTTAATACAAATCTAAACCCAAACACACATAATCTTAATTCATGTAGTCTAGTGTAGATAAAACCTAACCGATACAAGGCCATACAACCGTAACCTGACCCTGACCCTAACTCAAGCCCAGGCAACCCTGACCCGACCCTGACCCTAACTCAAGCCCATTCACCCCTAACCCGACCCTAACCCTAACTCAAGCCCAGGCAACCCTAATCCGACTCTAACCCTAACTCAAGCCCAGACAAACCTAACCCTAACTCAAGCCCAGGCAACCCTAACCCGCCCCTAACCCTAACTCAAGGCCAGGCAACCCTAACCCTAACTCAAGCCCAGGCAACCCTAACCCGACCCTAACCCTAACTCAAGCCCAGGCAACCCTAACCCGACCCTAACCCTAACTCAAGCCCAGGCAACCCTAACCCGACCCTAACCCTAACTCAAGGCCAGGCAACCCTAACCCTAACTCAACCCCAGGCAACCCTAACCCGACCCTAACCCTAACTCAAGGCCAGGCAACCCTAACCCTAACTCAACCCCAGGCAACCCTAACCCGACCCTAACCATAACTCAAGGCCAGGCAACCCTAACCCGACCCTAACCCTAACTCAAGGCCAGGCAACCCTAACCCTAACTCAAGCCCAGGCAACCCTAACCCGACCCTAACCCTAACTCAAGCCCAGGCAACCCTAACCCTAACTCAAGCCCAGGCAACCCTAACCCTAACTCAAGCCCAGGCAACCCTAACCCTAACTCAAGCCCAGGCAACCCTAACCCGACCCTAACCCTAACTCAAGCCCAGGCAACCCTAACCCTAACTCAAGCCCAGGCAACCCTAACCCGACCCTAACCCTAACTCAAGCCCAGGCAACCCTAACCCTAACTCAAGCCCAGGCAACCCTAACCCTAACTCAAGCCCAGGCAACCCTAACCCGACCCTAACCCTAACTCAAGCCCAGGCAACCCTAACCCTAACTCAAGCCCAGGCAACCCTAACCCGACCCTAACCCTAACTCAAGCCCAGGCAACCCTAACCCTAACTCAACCCCATACAACCCTAGCACGACCCTGACCCTAACTCACGCCGTAAGATCCAACCCCTGCCTCCCGTGTGTACTTCCTCAAGAACTGTAGACTGCACCTCTGTGTCCTGATGACCTGCTCCTCCATAGGCAAACAAAAGCCAAGCCGACTGTTGGGGGAAAAAAAATTGAGATTCGTTTCTGTCTTCTATAGATCAGTAGTTGTGGTAGTCAAATTACATTCAACGACACTTTGCTTTTACCGAACATGTTGATAAGCCATCGAGGCCGTTGACTCCGATTTCAGCCTGCTTTTCTTTTTGGATTTGCTTCCATAGCCTTTGCCCAATCAAGAACAAACTACAAAGCAGCAGTTGTTTGATTTTGAAGTTGTCTCTCCTAGAGAAACAGCTGTCCTGAACTATCGAATATCATCAGGGTTTGAACTTGGGGCTTTTCGGTTCAGCAACTATGAGCTTAACCGACCCAACCAAAAAAGCAAAAAAAAAAACTGCACTAATATCAAACTACTACAAATAAAATGTTTTACTTCCTGAGAAAGTCGATGTCCGCGGGGCCGCCCGTGGGGGGTAGACGTAGCGAGCAGACCCTCTCGGAGTAGGTGTTTCTGGACACACAGCGGGAGGGTTCGTAGCCATCGAAGGTGTACTCGGTCAGTGTGGCGCTGGATGGCGCCTCTTCTGGGTTACAGGGTACAGCCTGGGTGGTGATACATACACATAGGTTACAGGGCACATCCTGGGTGGTGATACATACACATAGGTTACAGGGCAGAGAATAGATGGTGATACATACACATAGGTTACAGGGCACAGCCTGGTTGGTGATACATACACATAAGTTACAGGGCACAGCCTGGGTGGTGATACATACACATAGGTTACAGGGCAGAGGACAGATGGTGATACATACACATAGGTTACAGGGCACAGCCTGGGTGGTGATACATACACAAAGGTTACAGGGCAGAGAATAGATGGTGATACATACATAGGTTACATGGCAGAGAATAGATGGTGATACATACATAGGTTACATGGCAGAGAATAGATGGTGATACATACACAAAGGTTACAGGGCAGAGAATAGATGGTGATACATACATAGGTTACATGGCAGAGAATAGATGGTGATACATACACATAGGTTACAGGGTACAGTCTGGGTGGTGATACATACACAAAGGTTACAGGGCAGAGGACAGATGGTGATACATACACATAGGTTACAGTGCACAGCCTGGGTGGTGATACATACACAGGTTACAGGGCAGAGAATAGATGGTGATACATACATAGGTTACATGGCAGTGAATAGATGGTGATACATACACATAGGTTACAGGGTACAGCCTGGGTGGTGATACATACACATAGGTCAAACACTTAATGTGTGCTTACTTATACATGGAAAAACATCATATGTATACATATATATATAATTATATATATATATATATATATATATATATATATATATATATATATATATATATATATATATATATATATATATATATATAGTATAACTATGTTTATGTGTGAGTGTGTTTAATAATATATGTTTAGTTATATAAGTAATTGTGTGTAGAATCTAAGTGTCAAACAAATATTATATATATATATATATATATATATATATATATATATATATATATATATATATATATATATATACCTATATATATATATATATATATATACCTATATATATATATATATATATATATATATATATATATATATATATATATATATATATATATATATATATATATATATATATATAAAATGAATATGTTTATACATGTACAGATGTAGCCGATTTTAAAATGAATGTATATGCATGTGTGTGTATTTATATAAAGAACACCGTGCCTTAAAAGAGCCTAGCAAGGGCCTTAAGCCACTGTTCCCTCTGTGCACCTGTGTCCATACCCGTGTCTGTCTACCTTGTACTTTCATCATTGTGAAGCGTGTCCGGTACTACTTGGGGACCAATCAAAGCACTCGCACTGTAACGCTCTACTCACAAAATTTCCTGGAGGTTATGGGGGGAATGAAAAACATGGTAGTCCTGAATTAGTGCATGCAATTAGCCATACTCACACAAACTTTATCATGGTAAAAATGTTAGTTATAATGTCTATGTTTATTTATAACTCTAGTCGAAATAAATACCAATTCATTAGGTTAAAATTATCATTATAAGGATATGATTTAAAAGCAAGACGGTCCCAACTATCACAGCTTTCCATAAAGTAAGTTATAGGCTATGACTTCATGACCTGATGACCTATAGAGGCTTTGACCTATTGTTTCACTAACCTTACAACTCATGGGTCTTCAAGCAATCCACACACAATCCCCCTGTCCTTGAGTGTTGGGGTGGGGGTGGGGAACTTGTTCCAGTGGCAAGTTCTCTCTCACGTCTCTAAAAGTTGTCAATATCAGGACTGCACAAAAACATCACATCCGCACGAGCATCTGAATAGACATTGTCGGGGAATTCCCGTTCTGTGCGTAATGTGAAATATGGTTGAATTCGAAATATCGATCAACCAACTTGCAATTAGTTACATCATGCTATTTAACTTACTTCACACTTTTTCTACTTTTTTTCTTTTCACAAAGTCATTAAACTACTTTGATTTTCTCTATTTTCCCACGTTTTCTTTAACTTGCTTTCTCTGTTTGTCTTTCCAATCAAATCTTGCGATCGAAATTTCTGGCACTTCCCAGTTAGCTAGCGCGCTGAAATTTTCAGGGAAGCTTTCTTTTGGATGACCATAGAATATTCAATTGTTATTATTACTAAATTGATCAATGGAAACATTTTATTGAGCATTTTAGACCGCTATATAATCTATATATATAATTCTCCTCTGCGAGCCATTAGAAAAAAAAACGAGCGACGCGTAGCTCGCCTCTCTCTTGCCGCGCGCAGTGACGCGAAACGATCCCACGTCGCGACAGGCTTAGGGGCAGATAATTTAGTTTGAACCGACTTTAAACTTACAGGAGGTAACTATTACCACTGGTGGCCAGTTTGGGGGAGACGATATGGTCGAGTGGTTGGGCACACGATTGCTATCCCACTCGACACGGGTTCAAATCTATGTGTTCTAGTCAGTAACCAGCCCTCGTCCTAACCGCTATCAACTAACCTCTGACAATCATTCACTTGCGATTGAGACCGAAGAAGAAAGGGTCTCTCGTTTTTTACGAGTTGTCTTTTTACGAGTTGTCTTCGTTTACCCAAAAAAAAGTGAAAAGATAAAATCGATAGCAAGATTTCAATGCAAACAAACAGACAAAGACTAAAAAGTAGAAAATAATAATCATTAAAAAAGTTTTAAAAAACCCACGTTTTCTGATTGAACTAAAAAGTAGAAAATAAATACTATACATTACAATAATGCAAGCGATCACTCTACTATAAGCGATGAAAAACGTGGGGTGCCGTGATTTTCTTACAGTTTCTAATACTGTTGACTCTCTACAAGCTCCCTAATAAAAGTCAATAGTATTATCTAATCAATAGTAATATAACTTTTACTTCGGCGCCCCACGTTTTTCATCGCTTATAGTAGAGTGATCGCTTGCATTATTGTGATGTATAGTATTTATTTTCTACTTTTTAGTTCAATCAGAAAACGTGGGTTTTTTAAAACTTTTTTAATGATTATTATTTTTATTTGAAACCTGGCAATTAAAATTGCTATTATTTCTTCAGTACACTTTACTGTTTTGTTTCGTTTTTTCGTTTGTTTTTTTTAAATGACGCTGACTCATCACGTAAACTATTGTCTTTCTTTAATTTTCTGTTTAGCCGCTATTTTTTCATAATTAAAGATTTTAGTTACACAAATTACAAATTTATTCTTTAATGGGACGGACATAAAATGTATTTAAATTGCCATTTAAAAGCCTAGCAGTAGTTAAAGTTGTCTCCCTTCTCTTCACAGTGATCGTCAATGGATCTACAGAAGGGCAGCGACTCATGGGACTTATGGTGTCCGTCACAGCTACTGACAAAAAGGGCAACAGCTACGTCCCTGGATCTTTTGATGTGAGTCGTTGCTATATTCAGTTTTTAATTTTGTGTGGGTGTTGTTTAATAAAAGTTAATTTCTGGTTATGTTCAAATTATTTTTTTTTCGCTGCTGTATGTATAATTAGCACGCTTTAGCCAGACAAAATATTTTTTTAAACATAACTCCAACACAACGATATGATCTGATTTCCAGTTCTGAAAATCGTCTTACACCTTCAAACTATGTTTACATCTAACATTATTTAAAAAATCTATTATTTAAAAAATAAAAGATTGTTTTATATAAATAAAACGCCTTTAATAGCAAGCTTTATATTAGCAATAAAAAAATAATAAAATAATTTTTGTAAACATTAATTTCTTAAAAATTCATGTCACATTGTTTTGTCGTCGAAGCTTGACCTACGTTTCAAGAAAAAAAAAACGGTTCGGTACAAGTGTGTGAAATTTCGTTCACAAGTTTCCACCCATAACGGCAAGGACGTAAAGTTAACTAAGAGCAAAATGTGAAAGAAAAAAATCTCATTTTTTTTTTATCAATCCTAATTTGTTTTCATTTTGTACAATACAAAAAAATTCTCTCCGAAACAAATAAAATCTCAATTAAATAACCCCACACCTGTGCAGAACAAGTAGACGAATTGTTTTAACTTTCTTTGATGTTCGCTACTCCCCCTCACACCCCTCCCCCTAACAAAACTTTCGTGTTATCAGCCAACCGCATCACATCGCTTCACCCCGCTACAGCTACATCTCCCAACCAGCGGGTGGTTGGTTGGCCCAGTGGTTGGTTGGCCCAGATGTTTGACGATTGATCTAGTATCGCGAGTTACGGAAGCTTAACTTTAACTTGGCCAGCATGGCCCTGATGGCCCAGATGGCCGACGTTAGATCTGGTATCTTTGGTTAAGGAAGCTTAACTCTGTCACGCCAAAATAGGCTAATTGTTTTGTTGTTTTAAAAATTTGAATCTCTTCTACGCCGCCCACACCGCATACCGAAGTTAGCTTTACTAGCCATCTGATCCCGTGATTTATTTTAACGATGGGGGAAAATAAAAGCAGTGAAGGTGCGGTGTAGGGGGACGGGTGTTGTGGGCGGTTGTATGACGTCAGAAGTGATTCTAAAATAACTAGGCTAAACGCCTGACGTACGCATAATATTCGAGGCATGCTTTGAAGTTGTTGTTAAAAATATGTTGAAGTTATCCTGCAATTGTGTCACCTGTTTGCTAAGGATAGAACACATATGGCTAGATATACAAATGGGCCCTCTATCTTAATAATAATAATGTCGTTATGTTTGTCCTCATATCTTGAGGTGCAGTGTTTCTTTCAGACTTTTTTCTCCTTGGGGTGGGGGGACACGGGTAAAAAAATATATATCTTCTATATAAATTCTGTTTCATTCGTGGCGGGGGAGGGGGGGGGTAGAATGAAAGAAACACTGTTCAGATAACTCATTGTCCCCTATCTGTTTACGTTTTCTAGCAAGTCTTTACACATATACTCAAACTAACATTCTTCCAACAAAATGTTTCATCATCTATTCCCGTTCGTGCTCAGGACAGATGAGGCAGATGAAGTAGAGTTCACCTGTTTCGATCACCTCGGCAAACAAAGTAATAATTTGGTCAGTACTATGCCCATCCGCACTTGCATCTAAAGTGAGTCAACCACCATTCTGAAATAGTGGTCTCGTTCTACGCACTCAAGCCCGTGATCCGAACCCGCGACTTTCATGTTAGCAGTCGTGAGCTCTACCACCCGACCACACCATCCTCTCCCTTTAAATCTCTACCTTGTTTTCTTCCTCTCCACCAGACATCCACAGACATCAGAGTCCAGGACCTGAAGGAAGACAAGACCTGTGAGAAGTCAGTCATATCCCACCGGTACCTGGTCAACAAGCCAGGAGTCAAGTTCTTGTGGACGGCCCCTGTCCCTGGGGCGGGCTGCATACACTTCAAGTAAGTTCTAGAAGTTCTGTCCGTATGTTCTTAGTAGTGGACTTTAAACATACACTTCAAGAAAGTTTTAGAAGTTCTGTCTGTATGTGCTTGGTAGTGGACTTTTAACATACACTTCAAGTAAGTTCTAGAAGTTCTGTCCGTATGTGCTTGGTAGAATACTTAAACATACACTTCAAGTAAGTTCTAGAAGTTCTGTCCGTATGTGCTTGGTAGTGGACTTTTAAAATACACTTCAAGTAAGTTTTAGAAGTTCTGTCCAAATGTTCTTCGTAGTGGACTTTAAACATACACTTCAAGTCCATGTTTTTCGTGTTACATCCGTTGTTCTAAAGTTCTGTTCATGCGTGCTTGTATTGGACTCATAAAAACTGGATATGTTTCAAATTGGGATTTGTTCCGCACACACTAATTAATAAACAATAGGTCTTTACAAGTATTAGAAAAAAAACGCAATGATAAATTATTTGAAACGAGAAAGACAGAAGTTTTTTCTTTGAATTTAAATAGCGAACGTCAAGAAATATACTAGAAGTAAAAATTACTTTGTCGTCAGTTACTGATTTCCTTACGGTATTTTTTGACTTCCTACAGTTGTTTGATTTTGGAGTTGCCTCTCCTAGATTACTGTCCTCGGCAATAGAGCCTCGCCTGGCCGTATTAATTTGTGTATTATTATGTGTATCATACATACAAATGCATGCCTATATATTGAAAGGGAGTTAACCGTCATATATATTGACGAGTTTGTAATTTCGCGATTACTTCCCTTATATGAGAAGTTAGCTTGTAATTTGGAGTTCAGTACTGTGTGAAAAAACTTCCTTATATATGGAGAAAATCCATACGAAGCAAGTAATTATGAAATTGGAAGCCTTGATTTGGTTAAGAAATAAAATAAAATAAAATAAATACACGTTAATACAATGACAGCACGTTAAAATAGTTGATAATTGCCTAGAGGTAAACGCATATTACCATAGCATTAAAGAAGATCCATTATATATTGGTAAATACTAAAATACGACACATATTAGTACAAAAGATGCGTTAATTCATTGGTAAATAAGACACGTATTATCTTAAAATAAAAGAAGGCACGGTAGGTAATTCGTCAGTTATAGGGGTGGGAGCTTCAGAATTTTTTATAACAATATTTTTTTTAAGTGGAAATTTTTGTTCGGCGTTTTGATAGGACCATTTAACAATCTGTTTCAATTTACAAACGGGTTCAACGTTGTTTACAAATTACAAGTATCTCTGTTTCAATTACATTCTCTGCATAAAGAAATGCATTTAATTTTCTTTTAATGTAACATATGAAATGACTGTGCAGTTTCGTCTAATGCAATGACCTTGGAGATCTGATACCAGAAAGCAAAGAAAGCAAATGTTGCTGTTATTCCCCTTTAAATAACTCCAGCCCGCGCATTAAATCTTCATTAGAACAGAGTGATCTCTCTTTTGCTACACGGGTTTTACAAGTTATCTGCCCATGGATGAGCAGTAAATTTCTACTCACCGCGAGATAAAAATAATAAACTCTACATAAAAATAAACCTTGGGATTCCCCCCCTCCCCCCGCACGTCCCCCTCCCCATTCCCTACCCTATTTGAATCAGTTATTTTAACAGGAGCATCACGAATATGCTAGACGATTTTTTTTCCTTTTGAATTCGCAGTTTTCTCTTTCCCATTTAATAAATTTATATCCCACAGTTTACATTGAAAAAAATGGACGAAGTAACGGTTAGAGGAGAGAAAATCTTGTTTAGTTTTTGTTAGGGCAAGGGTTAAGATAGCGATAGTTGTGAAGATACAATTGTGCTCACTGTTTTAATTAAATGGCCATTAATTACTACTGACGGCTAATGCTTAAAGGGGTCGTGGCGTGGATTAGATAGTTGAGAATAGTTCGCAAGCAGAGTTTCTTCCAGTCATCTTCTACCCCCCCCCCCCCCCTGAAAAAAATTGAATTTATAATTAAAAAAATATATTCTTTTATATACTTTAACTTTTTACCATATTTTTTATAATGTCCGGAAGTCCATTTAACAACTTTTCTGCAAGTGGTCTACGTCATAATTAACAAACACGAAATTAAAACAAACAGTTTGAACAGCATACTTGAGTTTCCTATATGTAGTATGACAGCCGGAAGTCCATCCATGCTACCAGTGGTTTTTACTTTTTTTTTTTTTGGTCGGATTTCGTTTTCCTTGAAGACACAGTGGCTTTCATGTTTGATAATATTTACGTAGCGCGATCTCAAGCCTGAACTTCCAAAGGTCGAGGTAGCTGCCTCGCTATGACACATTGTGCACGGGTCACGTGGTACCCGTAGCATTGCCAGCTCCGTCAGGAATAAAATGCTATGACATTGGTTTTTTTTTCATTTTGTTATTGTTTTATTTCACTATTTATTAACGTGTTTTACAAAGCTTCACCGTCATTTTACAATCACAAGTCATAATACCATGTTGTAACTAGTAGAAAAAATGTAAAACATTTTTTCAGAATAAATTTTAATTTTAATTAACAAAGTGTTATTAGGTTGGACTTAGATCAGGGGCGGAACTACAGTGCCGCCAGACCCCGCAATGCGGGGGGGGGGGGGGGCAGGCCGTTTAGGGGCCCATGGCCGACCATAATCAATTTTTTATAGTTAAAAAAATTATTTTCTAGTAAAAACAAAAAAAAAGATCTAATACAGTAGTATTGTTCTACAATAACCAACACATGCTGTTTCGTAAAGGAAAAAAATATATAGACTTGTAGTGTGAAAGATACTCAACCGTTCAAACCACTTCCATGACTTATTTCCCTTTTTTAAATAGTCGAATATGTGTGCTCTTAAGAAACTTTTAATAGATTTGCACTAAACAAATTAAAAAGCAATCACTTCTCTTAAATATTTAAAAAAAAACGTAATAAAGAATGACATGGTATAAAAAGGAAATGTATTAAAAACTAATAATATAAATGCTAAAAAAAAACAAAAATAAACATAAGGCGAGAAACCATTACACATACAAAGCTTTCATGCTTCATATTCTTTTGGCCGACTTGCTAAGCACTTTTTGCATAAGCCGAAGAACTAATTGGTGACCTACCCACCAGCCATATTTTATATTAAGGGAGCATTATGCCAGACATTAAAACAGAGAATTTCAAAACAGACTAATGGCACTCACACAAATGATGTGTTAACATGTTTTTATTAAAAATAAAAACTAAGAATTTTTAATATTTTTCAAATTTCGATCGTAACGAGTATTCATGTTCGTATTTCGTATATAGTGTCATTCATATATATATATATATATATATATATATATATATATATATATATATATATATATATATGGGGCCCAACAATTTTTTTGCGGGGTGGCCCTTTTTTTCTAGTTCCGCCACTGACTTAGATACGTGGACCGTACTGTTGAAGATGTTGGAAGTATAACTTTAATATATGGGTTCATGTCTGGCTTATAACGATAGGAGGCTTGTCCACACTGTTTAGAGTTTTGTTTAGTATAGACGGTTTCCTTGGGAAAATAATTCGCCCAACTGGCGAGTCGCCATGTAAAAAAAATAACAGGGTTCTTGCTACTTGACAGATTCAGCACTGTGGTGGTGTGTGTGGAGGGGGGGGGGGGTGTATAGATCATAGAGGTAATTATTTGGCAACATGCATCGTTGTTCGGGTCTTGACTTCCACGTTTTCTGATATCTCTGGGTGCTTGCTGGGTGGGGCGCGGGGGTGGGGCTGGTGGTATAGGCTTCACCAACACAGGGTGGGGCGGGGGGTGGGGCTGGTGGTATAGGCTTCACCAACACAGGGTGGGGCGCGGGGTGGGGCTGGTGGTATAGGCTTCACCAACACAGGGTGGGGCGGGGGGTGGGGCTGGTGGTATAGGCTTCACCAACACAGGGTGGGGCGGGGGGTGGGGCTGGTGGTATAGGCTTCACCAACACAGGGTGGGGCGGGGGGGTGGGGCTGGTGGTATAGGCTTCACCAACACAGGGTGGGGCGGGGGGTGGGGCTGGTGGTATAGGCTTCACCAACACAGGGTGGGGCGGGGGGTGGGGCTGGTGGTATAGGCTTCACCAACACAGGGTGGGGCGGGGGGTGGGGCTGGTGGTATAGGCTTCACCAACACAGGGTGGGGCGGGGGGTGGGGCTGGTGGTATAGGCTTCACCAACACAGGGTGGGGCGGGGGGTGGGGCTGGTGGTATAGGCTTCACCAACACAGGGTGGGGCGGGGGTGGGGCTGGTGGTATAGGCTTCACCAACACAGGGTGGGGCGGGGGGTGGGGCTGGTGGTATAGGCTTCACCAACACAGGGTGGGGCGGGGGGTGGGGCTGGTGGTATAGGCTTCACCAACACAGGGTGGGGCGGGGGGTGGGGCTGGTGGTATAGGCTTCACCAACACAGGGTGGGGCGGGGGGTGGGGCTGGTGGTATAGGCTTCACCAACACAGGGTGGGGCTATAGGGTTTCATCTCTTCTTACAAATTATGACGACAGTCCGTAAGAAAAGACTATAATTAAACTAATTAAAAGAAGAATACTCATATATATGTATGTATAATATGTATAATTAATGGTTGCGTATATGTTTCTATATTCGACAGTTTATTAATACATAATTTACTCTGTTCCTTAACATACACATACACCAATTTGTGTTTGATTAGACAACAACGTTTGTCACATAACTGAGTTTTATAACTGGACGTTGTTTCTCTCTTCTCAGCGCTACTGTGATTGAACACTCGGATGTTTGGTATAAAGACGAGGGTCGATTACATCGAGTCATCTGTGAGGAAGGTAAGCTCGCATTTTGTTTTATTAAGAAAGCGATGTATGTGTGTGTTTTGTTTTAAATATTCAAATTTGCCTCAAGACAAGTTCCTTAGCAAGCACTACACAAATCAAAAACAGAGAAAAACAACGCGTGAATATGAAATGCTTTGCAGGATTCATCACTTTCTTATACTAAATGACCTCACGCTCCCCCTCGCCCCCTCCTTCACACATAGTTACAGAAACCCAGACCCCCTCCCCTAAAATGACCCCCACACACACACTAAAATTTGCACTAAATTTCGGATCCTCTAATTCGGATCGTCTTTTATGGTTGGCCCTTTTTTTTTTAAATGAACCTGTGAAAAAATATTCTAAAATGGGAGGTAACTATGCATGTGTGATGGACGTTGGTCTAAAATAAACCAAATTAGTGTTGCCGTGTATAACTCGTCGGTGAAATGTTTATCTTAATAAGAAAACGTAACTCCTATCATATTCCGGTGCTGGGATAACACTGACTTCCCTCCCTTATAAATCATCATCTCTCCGGTCCGGCGAAGTTATGCCCCCTTGCACTTCTAATCACGAGTTAATTCCCTTTGGCGCACTGGCGCAAGTTCACGCCTTGGTTACCGCGTCACTGACGACGGTGTTAACATTCGGGGGGCGCGAGAGGGCGTCAGGGATATTTACGTGTGTTCACGTGCGGTCAGATTTACGATAGCGAGGCTGGGAACAGTTATTGCCCTTGTAAGCGTGTGTGAGGAGTGGAGGAAGATCTAGCGTGGTGTGAGCTAGCGTGATAGCATCAAGCGTGGTCTCATGTCAAGACATGCGATTGTGCGGTGCTGAAACATATTTACTCACAGAAGGTAGGGGTGTGGTGTAAAGTGGTTGTGGGATAGCGCGTGTAGCTCTATAGCCCGGTAGTTGCGGTTCAAATCCTTACTTTGCAAAAATAAAAAAAAAAATAAAAAAAGGCTAAGTTGGATATGTTAAATATTTGAGCTGTGGGTGGTAGAGATTGATTGTCGGATATCGTGCATATATAACAGACAAGCAGATTCGGTTCGAATCCTTAAAATACGTAGAAAAACTGAAATGAATATATGTAACGCCCATAAGGATAGTAATCGAAATATGTTTTTTTAGATTAGGTTTATAGAACAGATACTAGTGTATGTATAGCCTGGGCGTTAGGTGTAGTTTGGAGGTGGTAAGGTATCTTTATACACGATGTTTATATATAGAAACAAATTTAGTATACTACATGGAAAATCGGGAACAATGCATTTACGAGTCGACTTTTGAATCGTTTTTAACTTAAATTTAAAAAAAATGTTAAGTGACCTGTTAGGGAAAGAAGGCATGGCAGGTGAAGTGGTGTTCACGTGCTTCCATGACGATGAAGTGTGAGAAGTTATTGTGGCCAGCCTCCGCGTGACTCTGGAATCAAACTCGAGACTGCCAAGTTACCATTCACGTTCTCTACACCTCGACCACGCCATCACATTACATACTAAATAATCAAGACCCCCCTCCCCCCTCCACATTCAGCATATCAGGTTGGTATCTAGACGCTGAAGTCAATCCTTTACAATGTGATTCAGTGTATTAGTGCAACAATTTTAATGTTGCACATTGAATACACATACCAGTTTCGGGTACGGTGACTATTGAAACACTAGTCACAATTATATTCCCTTATTGTTAAACTATATAATACCCATCAAGAAAACTATTTTTTTAAATTGTAGATCTTCCCATAATTTTAAAACTCACCTTCCGCTCACCATTATCTACTTGAGATAATCCGTTTTTTTTTAACAATGTCTGTCTTGTTTTGTTACGACTTACTTCCCCTTGCTTGAGTTGTCCGCCCCTGCTAATTTAACCCGAAGTGAAGAAATTAGGCGTGTGCCGTGTTGAGTTGATCTGACGAGAACCACGCGCGTATTTTCTTCAAGTCTGGGATCAAATTCAATTTTCTGGGGGGAAAATGTTCTAGAATGTGCTGAAAGATGAATGCTCAGGCGGGTGAACTCTTCCCCGATCACTGTTAACAGCTTGTTTTTTTTTTTACTCTTGGTGGCCCTAAGGGAGATAATATAGGGCCTAATTTTTTAAAGAGTTAAACTCATCAAAAGTCAAGTCGAGGTTGAATGTTTATATATTGTACACTGTAGGTATAGCCCACACAGACCACCTTATATGTAGGCTTACATTTTAGCGCCCTTTACCTGTCAATCAGTCTGCTGGTATTATTAGGTTCCATTCAGGCATCTCTTTATACATTAATTTTTGTGCTCATTCATCTCTTTATCTAGTCATCGACGGTTTCTTCAGTTGTTCCAGTATTCATTAATTTCTATGTACAGTAATATTACTAATATATGTCCAGTTATCTATGTGTCTAAGTCATCTCTATGTCTAGTCCAGGGGTCGGCAACCTGCGGCTCGCGAGCCGCATGCGGCTCTTTTGATATCAAGATGCGGCTCTCCAGCTCCTTGAACAAATACTAATAATCTTAATAAAAAAAAATATTTGAAATAAAAAAAATGCTAGTGGCTCTTTAAAACCAGGGAAATTTTGAAAACTGCAACTTTTGGCTCTTCCGCTTCAAAAGGTTGCCGACCCCTGGTCTATTAATCTCTATCCAAAGTCATTTCTATACAAAGTCATCTCTATACAAAGTCATCTCCAGTCATCTCTATCCAAAGTCATTTCTATACAAAGTCATCCCCAGTCATCTCTATGTCAGTAATCAATATGTCCAGTCATCTCTATGTCCAGTCACTTCTATGTCCAGTCATCTCTATGTCCAGTCATCTCTATACAATCTCTATACAAAGTCATCTCAAGGTCCAAACACTAACAGTTTGGGCTTTAGAAAAAGTCTCTAGAGTAAAAGAGTAAAACCCCACAGCCCTTGAATCAAGCAGAGAATATCAAATCAAAGGATAGACCGACTTACACAACAAACTTGACAGACACACTAGCTGGATTCATTCCAGTCTTGCTATAGCACAACCTACTCACTCATCACCCCCCCCCCCCCTTCCCCCCACCGCCTTCCGAAATTTATGTCTTTTCTAGATAAATCTGAACTTTCTCTGCCAGCCATTGTTTAGTTTACAATTCATCCAAAAATTCCTTCTCTATTCTTCTATCATCTGCAAATACCACACATGCTAAATCTAAACATTATTACAACTACAAACAAAACTAAAAATCCGGCGGCGCCCCCTGCATAGATTATGTCCCTTTGTTACAAGAAAATAGAATCCAATTCGGGTTCTCGGTTTCAGTTCATGCTGACTTTATAGTTCCAGTTGTGAAACTGGTGGGCAGATAACTCTAACTCTGTAAGACGAGAAGTACTGAAATAGTTATGGCACGTGTGGGTTCCGTTTTGTCTGCGGTTCTTCACACAGTTTTCGGTGTTTTTTCTCACAATAAAACTATATATTGGCTAAGTCTAAGGGAGAATTTAGTGGGGTTTGTAGGTTTGTTGCATAACTAAGAATTATGGCGTCGTTGTTTTATTGTCCGCGTGTCAAATGGAAATGTAGTTGTTTGGTTTACTTGCATGCATGTGGGCCTACAAGTTTATAACAGTCTAGACTTAATATTGGCACATCTGTGTAAATGTGTACAATGGTATTTCTACCCGTATATTACTTAGTTAAGGTATATTATAAATAAAATACGTGCAATAATATCTATAGCAGTATAGGTACAAATATACTTTTACTAGATTTTGTGTACATGTGTATTTTTACTAGTATGTGTGTACACGAATTTTTTACCAACATATGTGTAGAAGTAAATTTTTTACCACTATTTGTGTACACATATATTTTACTAGTATGAGTATACAAGTACCATAATTTCCCGTTCGTGCCCAAGACACATGGAGCAGATGAAGTAGAGCTCATCTGTTTCAGAGACATCGGCATATGAAGCGATAGTTTAGTCAGCACTATGCACAGTAGCCTTTGTTTCCCTTTGTTTTTTTCATAAGAGTTGGGTGGACTCAGGGACGTTCTACTGACTTGAACCCGGCTTTGAACTAGAGAATCTTGGTTTAACAACATAGCGCTTTACCGCCAGGCCACGCTTATATATACCAATATATTTTCTTTTACTAATAAATACTTTTTAGTACTTCTTCAGACCACACTTTATACAAGGACCAACCGAGCTAGGAATTTATTAATTTTTGTGAGACTGTCGTCCACCTTTAAAGCACACCTTGAAGTAAAAACGTGCTCAAAATAATGGCAATTAACCTAAGAGATAATCACGGGGGCTTATGGTTGTAAAGTACTGTTTGGTTGTAGCTGTCATTTTAATTATTATGCTAATTTGTAAGGTCAGTTTTGGGGCTGTAGCCGGTAGCAATAATACCGTATAAGTATAATGGTATATAACGTTATACGTTGTTAGTGGTACAGTATTTCATTAGCGCATTTATCATAATAATATCTGGCATATGTTGTCTCTTTCATGATCTTCTACATTACCCATATCACACCATTTGACACCTGTCATACCAATCTAAACCCATCCCAAACTACCTAAACACACATTTACCAAATGAATAGTTCCGGTTACCAACGCGCCCCCTCCCCCCTTCCCCTTCCCTCCCAGAATTTTTAAAATCAGTTTAGCTTTCAATCGCTATTAAACCGTAATCTATAAACCAAAAACTGCCAGTGGATGTTAGCCTTGCCTGGTATGGCTGTGTATGACCTCTGTGACAAATCATCGGGGGGGGGGGGGGGAGGAGGAGGGGGGTAGGGGGTGGGGGGATGGGGGGGGGGGGAGGGGGGTAGTGTCATACAATATGAATTTGTTTCTAAATCTCTTTAAAGTAGAAATCAATAGTGGATTTTTTTTTAAAGTCGCTTAACCCCAATTAAGGTTTCAAAGTTAAATTCGTAAAGCAGAAGCGTTTGGAAAAACACACCGCTGGTTGTGCCTACGACTTTAGAAAACAGTAGCTTCATTTTGTAAT